TCATTGTTTTCTCTCGTAGAATGAGTAATTCTTTTTGAATCATTCAAACAATCATTGTTGTTTCGATGTCCTTTTATTTCAGTTTTAGCAAATAAAGGTGCATTTTTTTTATAATAATATCTTCTTTGCTCTTACTAACTTTATTAGCCAACACTGGATTCTTAAAGAAAGAAAAGAGACAAGTTGAAGATTGATAACCTAATATTTTTATATTTATTTTTCTAAATAACTTTATTTCGATAATTCTAATTATAATCACTAATAAATATACTTATAATTAAAGTTGATAAATTCTGTATACAGGGTGATTCAGAACGAGTGTAAAAAATTTTCACAAATTGTTTAGGTCATTCTAATTAAAAAATGTCATATGAACATAGATCGTATTTTCAATGTTTCTGCAGTTACAGGATTTTTTAAATTTTACTGTGTGGTAAAACATCGCATGCTTGATATGAGTAATATTTCAAAAATTAAAAAAAATATATATAAAATATAAGAACACGATATATTATTAATTTTAAGTTCAGTTTCAAAATAAATGCTCAAGATATGTTCCTTGAGCTTGAATAAACGCATTACATCAATGAATTAAAGAATTGTGTACACGATGCAAACTAACCCGCCTAGAATACCACACTTCTTGCGAGTTCCGATTCCATCACACTGGGTTTACTGCATCCAGCTACTTTCAACTATTAATAACTCTTCAGAAAATAGATATTTTTAAACTTTTTTTTAAATTTAAATGCCAGAATGTCAAGAACGCGTCTGTTATTGTCATTACGGTTGACATTTAAAAAAAGACATTTATTTTGGTAAAAGCCCGAATAGAAATCTCCTTAATCAAAAATTTCAATAAAATAAGCATGAATTTAATATACCAATGTGGTGTTTTAGAGTCAGCCCTTTATGTATGTGTGCGCGCGCATGCGTGTGCGTGTATAATTCATATTTGTATTCTTGATTATTACTCACTTTTTTTTAATCTTTCAGTTCAGTAATATTCCTTTTTTCATTTTTTTTTGTGAGTTATGAGCACATCTTTTTTTATCTTTTCTATATTCTCCATTTTTATATGTTATCGTGAAAGAAACGAAATTATCTTTCAACAAGACGGTGCTGGGCCGCACAACGCCAGGATCGTTTCGAATTATTTAAACGAGCATTTTCCCGGACGCTGGATGGGTCGGTACGGCCCGATACGTTGGCCCGCAAGATCTCCGGATCTCAACCCCCTTGATTTTTTCCTATGGGGATATTGTAAGGAAGTAATTTATAAAACGCTTCCTGAAAATATCGAAGAGCTAGAGACAAGATTACGACATTCTATTTGGGATATCGACGAAGAAATAATGCAGAACGTCGAAAGAAATTTATTAAAACGCATGAGAGCTTGCGTTAGAATGGACGGCGGGCATTTCGAGCATTTGCTCTAAAATTTTTTTTTAAACAATCCGCTCTTTTCAGAGCGACCAATATATTTTAACGTTGGAACATCTGATTTGAGCAGAATAAAAATAAATTTTCCCAAATGTATTAGGTGTACAAATAAGTTTCCGCCGTTTTTTATCAAAAATTGGGCATTTATTGTGAAAGAACGGAACCTAATGTTTTATTTGAAGTATTGTCCATCGCTTGCCACTACTTTTTCTCATCTTTCTGGCAGCATACGGATACCGCGTCGGAAGAATGCTTCATCTTTTGAGGCTATCCACGGATCGACCCAATTTTTGTTATCTTCATATGATGTGAAGTGTTGCTCAGACAGGCCATGCGCCATCGATCTAAACATGTGGAAATCAGTATTACCTCCACAAACTGGTTTCCCTTGCATTTTTCCAATAATG